TTAATTTTTTTTAAAAAATACGTTTTTTTTTGTGTGTGTGTACGAACAAATTATTATCATCCATAGATTTAATCGAGTGAATGACGCTCCCTGAAAGTATATCTGCTCTCAGACATTACTATCTATGCTCTTTTCTGGGCCTGTGAAATGTTATGCTGTGTGCTGCTGCCCCGGCGGATATTTCGTGTTAGAATATAATATCCGCATCATTATTCGTTAGGTTCCGTTCGTAGACATTAATGAGAATAGACTCGGTATAATCTATTGCCGGTTTAGAATACCGGTATGCTTAAGAGAAGAGCGTGTTGGTTTAAGTCATGGATAAAGAAAGAATGAAACAATTAAAACAGGGACGACACAACCGCATCTTTCAAAAGATGTGGTTGTGTTGTCCCTGTTTTGTTTTGTTCTTTCTTCATCCATGATAGAATACCGGGACAGGCTCGGTTTCGAAAAGCCATTGACTCTTTCCACTTTAGCAGGGCGAATGCCGGAAAAGTGGCGAGTGGAGAGGAAGCAACCACCAATCGCGGCAAGCAGAGAAATTCGTGGGAGGGGTCTGTCCTGCTATTCTTAATCTGACATACACTGCAGCCTTTATCATGAACAGAGATCGCAGTAGATTTTCGTAAGCGTAGTACAACTGGTTTCTTTGATGTTGAAATGTATGCTTCATTATTCAGACAAACGGTAGGTAACGATTTAATTTTTTTTTTTCACAATTGTAAATTATTTTTGTTTTTGTCTCGAAAGAAAACTTGTGATGGTTGCTGAAATGACTAAACAGTCGCGACGTCACCGACAGTAAGTTATCGCCACAACGAATGTGACGGCAAGTGGCGGTAAATTTAAACTGGCGGAAACAATACGGAAGAGCTCCAGTGTGGCCAGGCATGAAACTCCCTCTCGCAACAAAGGCGCACGCGGAAAACGTGCCTCCTCATTTTCTTTGTCCTAGCTTTTGCCACCTTTTTGTTTCTTTCAGTTTCGCGAGTTGAAACGATGTTAAAATAAAACGCGATTCGTCACAACGTCAGGTCGGAGAACAAAAGAAGTCCCCAAAGTTGTACGTTGCTAAAACAAAGGAGTCCGACGACATCAACAAAGAGATGCGGTCTTTTAAAGCGCGTATACAAAGACAGCTGCTCCGCAAAAAAAGCCAGACAGCCACGAGGGCGGTGGTGGTAACCGAGCGAAAGTGCACCGGACGTGAATTCCCGGCTCGCGCAGACCATTTCCGGTGCCTTTGGGCGCGGTTTTTTCTCGCGCGGCGAAACGATCACGAGCTCCAGACAAGCGTATAGACCAAACGAAGAACTTGTGATTTCTTATTTCTATCCCTAAGACCAAGACACAACAAACGAACAAAAAAAAAAAGTAATTCTGGTTTTCAAACCAAAAAGCGGAAGTTGCGTGATTTATGCGTGTTGTTATAAATGACTTCTCGATCTCTTGGCCCAAATGAACTCGATGCAGGTGTTCCGGCGCCCACTTTAAAGTTACCTTGAAAAGGCACGAAAACTATTATAAAAAGGCGACTTATCTTCTAACGTTGCAGACATATATTAAACCAGCAATGGACGCTGAGGTAGAAATAGAATCCCAACCATCAACGTCACACCCGAAAGCCGAGGGCACCATACGAGAGCAGTAAAAAAATGGACCGTGTCGTTCTTGAACTGTTCGTGTCATGTCCGGCTGTCCGCAGCAAAAATCTCTAAGCGCGAGCAGCTCGCTTCGAAAGAGGCTTCCTTTCTCTGGCACCAATTAAGCTCGTGCAAAAGAACCGTCCCGGTAAAGCGACAGGTCAAACAGGTCATGCTGGAGGCCGAAGGGCAGATTGATCGTGGTCTTTGGTTTCTGGAACACGGCAGAAGCGAATTGAATGGAGCCGAGAACGATATGCTGCTGCAGCTTGGAGGCGGTTAGGAAATGTAAAAGATAGAAATGAAAAGGTTGGACGCACTCGAATCGTCAAAAGACAAGCCGTTGCAGTGCTGTCAAAATTATGTCAGCACAGGCATGTGCTGCCTAAAGTCACTTTAGTGCTGCCGTAGTCTTCTATTCGTGGCGAATAGAAGACTCACTGTGGGTAGTGCACGTGCTACCCACGCGGTTATGTTTCAATTTTCATGGTGCATAGACGCTTGGCATTGCCCGTGCTTGCATCAGCGGAGGAAGTTGAAGTATCCCTACTCTGAGTTGTGAAAAAATTCTACAAGGCAGCACACCCAAACATCTCGCCGAAAATATGGCGCTGCTCAGAACCCTTGTGCAGCTGTTGTCGAATTCGTCGAAATAAAGCCACAAACCATACTTTATCTCTCAAACTTCATGCAAAGCCATCAAAGGAACAGACATGAGCGAGTAGCTCTGCGACGTGTTTGCACAAGTCCTCGTGCAGGAAAAAGACACTTCCGAAGGCCCCACGCTAGCACCCATTCCTCTCATAACGCTGCCAGGAAATCTAGAAATAAATAAGTCGGTGCATACGAAAAGATAACCTGCGACCGCAGTACAGCAAGACCGACATTATACGCCAATGGAAGAGCTTGCTACTTTGACGATCAAATCAACGCCCACGTAGGGAACGTGTTTTTGCGGTTCTTATATTTTTTATCGTGCTGTAGTTTACTTGTTCTGCGAGCAAATTCCCGCAGTTTCCGACTGTCACTATCACAATACTGGCGTCGCACGTAAGGTTTTCTATCAAAAGGCATATGACGATATTATGACTTTCTCTCTATGGGGTCCTCACTACAACAGTATACGAATTATCAAGTTTGTTTTCGTTTGTACTGCAGAACAATGCCACTGTGTCATCTACTTTGGTTCTGTTTTGTTTCTTGTCGAGCCACTTGAACAAGAATAAGCAGTCGAGGTGTCGCGCGAGAGTGCGACGAAGAACGCCCAAGAACGTCGACTGTGACAATGGCGACAGGGACAAACAGACGACGAGCAGACACCTACACGCGTTTACGCCGTCTGCCTCCGCGTTCAAACAAGCAGCCGAATTCTTGGGGGGCCTCCGGCCGAAACAAAAGGAAATTAGGCAAAAGAACGCCAAAACAGATGCCACTGTTCCTTCTCCGCCATGATGGATGCGCGTAGAAGAAGGACGCTCGTTCGCGATTGGTCCTTCGGCCGAAGTCGGGTCCACAACCTCCGGCGCTTTCGCGGCGTTTGATCGAGCGTCTGTCGAGACGGAGCGGGCGACGAACTCTCCCTCCCTCCACGCGGAGTCGTAGCACAGCGCGCCGACCAACGGAGCAGAAGTTTCCAGCCCGTTCACTTTCATTAGCCCTTAACTCAACCCAAGCCCCAAGCCTGGAATGGGTGTTGGGCAGGGCCAGGCGCCTTCGGGAGCCCCACAAAGCACCCGCCCCTGGGGCGAACGAACTCCCTGCGGTGGCAGCGCATAGGTCCTGCCCGCCCTTGCGTACCCCTTTCGCTCGGCCCAGTGTGCTTGCCCCACAGACTGATTAATGAGCTCCGGAGGCAGGGGCAAATTAACTAGGCCCCCGTGTATGTGTGCCGAGCGCGCGTTAACGTCCGCCGGCCCAGTGAGAGGAACGACGCGCGGTTATCAGCCGTCCGTTTTCGGCACTAAATTTGGCGGTAGGGCCAGGCATGCGTGTGTGCCGTGGGTGGGGCGCGGATCGGCAAACCTGAGGGCGTTTATGTGCCTCCTGTTTTCGTTGTCTGCTTTCTGAGGTTTGCCAGCGGGGTCGGAGACCGCGCCGCGCGAAGAGTTCCTGTTCTAACCTCGGTGTCCTCGGAGTGGAGACGAAAACCTATAACCCCCGATTCTTGTTTTCGGTTCATTGCACCGTGATCAGGAAAGTAAGAAGCAGGAGGGGAAAGAAATGAACGAGCCTTTTGACCTTTCCCGCCCAGCGCGCCGTTAAATAGACGACGTATGCGACCGGATCACACCCCATAGCGCGTGGAAATACGACGTTGTTCAAACAACCGCAGTATCTCCTCCGCGCGCCGAACTACTCGTTATGGCGGGGCGGACAACACGTAGAGCGCAGCAAGTCACGCGAGAATGTCAACGATACACGTCCCGTCTTTTCTTTTTTACTTATTCCTCCAAACAAAAGCCGCGTAATGTCAACCGTGTTACGGTGTGCGAATGCCTCACACTTTCCCGATAGCTTTGACAGTTCATGGTGTGACTATCCTCCGTTCCACCTTACGATGGACCGCGGAGGATCTTACCAGCCATCGAAGCAATCCCAAGGCTGTGTGAGCCTGACGTGACATGCGGAGGGTGTAGTCAGCTGCGTGGTACGTTCACAGCGCTGGATCGGCTGGGATGCTTCGTAGCGCCCGCTGCGATCCGTCGTCTGGTGAAACGGATATGGTGCCCGGAACATGTCTTCGACTGGTGTGTTCCTCGCGTCCAAAAGAGTGGTCCCTCGATTTCTGCCTAGTAGCGTCATAAAAGTGACGTGCTGTCGCCGGTCGCGATCCTGGCGATGTTCCAGCAGCAGTGGCGGATGTAGCAGACGCCTGTTCCGCTGCAGGTTGCTCTCCAGTGTGGCAGTCCACGGAAGCTTTGGCAGCCAGAAGTAGGGACGCCGCGACGACAGCGACACTTGCGTTCACTCGTTCGCCAGCAGTTCTACGACCAACCGCCAGGAATGATCGCGACATCCGACAGCGTGACACTCCGGCTTCTGTGACGTCATTTGTTGCCGCTTCGGGACCACTTTTTCATGTATGGGAGGCATATCGGACGCTAAACACAACAGTCGGGGGCGCGCTTCAGGCACCAGTGTGACATAGGAGAGTTTTATATTAGTGCGCCCGAACAGCCTGAGGCGAAAGCGCAGTGGGATGCCCCAAGCTATTTGCCGAACACAATGCTTTGGGCCGCCCCCCCCCCCCCTTTCCACCCTATTCTAAGCAATTCATAATAAAGTGCCGTTATCATCTTCATCTATGTGTCTGTGAACAGGTTTCTTACGTACTGTTCGTTTGTCTTTGTGCAGAGGGAGAGGCGTCGGACGTGAACATCGAGTGCAACAGCAACAACATCCAGGTGACGCTGGACGCGCCGAACGACTTCAACGGCATGATCTACCCGAAGGGCCTGTCCAAGAACTCCACCTGCATGGCCGAGTACACCAACGTGCGGGACAAGATCGTCTACACGCTGCCCCTGCGCTCCTGCAACACCATGAGCACCGACGTGGTGAGTGGGCATGCCGCTTTGGAGGACCGTCACCGATGGCTTGAGAATTTCTCTTTTGTTCGTCATTCGGCGGGTATTTTTTTTTTTTTTTTTTTTTTTTGCTAATGAAGTGAGCTTATCCGATGAGTGTGCTTAGGACCCGCCACGCCCGACGTTTGTTAGGCTCTCATTGATCACTATTAGAGACGCGCGTGACCAAAAGCGTCGCTGTGGTCGCCATTCGCGATTGGCCAAACGCTCATTGTGACATTTTCATCTGGATTATTTTTGTTTTCTTTCATCGACGGAAATCATCGCAATGTCAGAGTGTGTCAACGGTGACGATCTAAGTTTAAATGTGCGATGACACCAAGCTTCCATTGGAAAATACGACAAGAAGTCAAAGATTACGTCTCGTGACGTCACGGCGAGGAAACTTGTGGTCGTTACGCCAAGGACGAAAACCGCAAGAGGGCGCCACCGAAACGTGTTGGCTCTAATAGCTGGCACTCCACCGCCTTTCGATGCGTCTTTGGCTCCATGATGGAAAGACGAGAGGGACCGTGGTTGGCAAAGTGGACGCAACACTCATGGCCAGTTTATTCCGAGACCTTCCATAAAAATACCGTTCTGACAAAAAAAAAAAAAAAAAAAGAAGCTTTTGTTACCGAGAACACGACACACGTAGTTATAAACGGTCCCACTGCCGATTGTTGAACTGGAAATGCAGCGGAGGTTAGAAGTATGAAATCACTAGCAAGTTCAGCTGGACGTTTTTTTCTCCCCTTTTTCCGGCTTTGTGTAATGACTGTCAGGTACTGCGATATTTCGATGCTGTCTCGAATTAAATGATATGAGCTTGCTTAAAATCCTGGTGCTTGAGGAGGAGGCTGCGACACCACTAAAAAGTGACCAAAGCACGAGGCTGTTCAAATACACCCAGCAATTTAGTCGTTAACGCACACGCACCTGGCGGCACAAAAGTGAAGCTGCAAATCTTGCTGCTAGTCCCATTGATCTCTAGTGTAGAAGGCGGGATTGCAGATCGAGGCTTGTCTTGCTGGGGCCAAGCGGCGCCACCGGCAGCCATCGCTTGATACCGTCTAATGCATGGGGCTCTATCAGAGAAACGAGGAAAACTGCAATTTCTTACCCTTAGGATGTTGCTCTTGACGAAAATCTTTTATCATGCTTTCCCGTAACCACTGTAAATATTCCGGGCGCAAATGTTGAAAGCGTTAAAATACTATATTTTTTAATAAATGTTTCGTGGCTGAAAGTCGCGGCTTGCGATTCTGTTGGGCGTAAACTGTGATGCGGTTCAGTGACACATGAGTTACCGAGAGTCAGTGTGGAGTCGTTCGTGACCTCGAAGTCATCGGAGCCTAGCATACGATAAGTTAGAAGGCCTTCACGGGGACATTCGCATCGTTTCAAGCGCTTGTACAAGGTGTTTGTGGGGCAATCCTTTGCTTTAAACTGCAGTGAGGTCATCTGTGACGAACTAAAACTCGAAGTGTGTTGTTCCTTTGTTGAACGTGTCATTTTTTGAGCAACTGAAGTAAACGTCGCCGGCACAATCAGTGGTGCTCCGGCACATTTCGGCGTTCGAACGTTTGGCAAATACGTATTCGATCTCCACATATAATGATCACAGCACATCATAAAATGCACGCCTTCGAGCACCATGTACAAGCTTCATTATTCCTACTTTTGTGTGTTTCTCCCATAGACGGGTGTATTGCCTGATGTCAAGCAATGGCCACCGGTGATACCACCGACGGGCTCTTGATCCGCGGTCCACCTTACTACAATAGAGATCAGTGACTAGACCAGAACTTTAGCAAACAAATAATGGCCAAGAAAAAGGAAGTTTCAAATCCTACCAGAATGCCTTTTTGTCACGCTGTTGTTTTGTGCTTTCGTCCTCATGCAATTCATCTCGCCTGCCGAGGTATTACTTTCGATGAACAGGGTGCTCTCCTTTTCACCTCATAAAGATTGCTAGTACTAGCAAAATCATCGCAAAAGAAGGCTTATGCCAATGTGCAAACCTGAACGCAGGATGACGGCGTGGAGTACTTCAATACCGTCGTGGTGCAACCCCACCGCAAGCTGGTGACCAACCAGGGCAGGGGATTCCATATCCGCTGTCGCTATCAGACCAAGGAGAAGACCATCACCAACTTCTTCAACGTCAGGTGAGAAGGCCTGCCTGCTGCACTCAGTGCTCTCTGCTCCGTACTCGCGCAGTCATGGTCTCGTGCACATGCAGGTGCAGACAGGTTCGACAATCGTTCGCGTCAATAGGTAGGCTGCGTAAGCACCGCTGCAATTTATCGACTCAGCGGAGAAATTCAGGAGATCAAGTTCAGCTGTCGTGCTCGCCGAGCATTTTAGGCAGCCGTTCAGAAAGCAGCTGCACAACTACCCTTCAAAATTTATTTTTTACATCTCGCATTTTTGTCATGTCCACTTTGGTTATCATTGCCTTTGTAAAAAAACACTATGTTTTTGTCATAAACACATCATGATGCATGGCAAATGTCGTAATGATCCCCATTAACACGGTGCATCTTGAACATGCGTTATATTTATTATGCATAGCAAAGGACGTAATGGTCCCCTTCGCGGCCTTTGTTGTGCATCATGAACATGATGAATGAACAGAGCTAATAGCGTACGGTAACGAGGTATTCAAGGGACAACGATTCCGATTATGTGGAATGAAATTTGAACGTGGACCCTCGTGCATTCTTTGAAAGCAGTGAAGCCAAAGCTAGAGCCATTAAATGAGCTGCACTTAAAGTACCGGCACTCTGTTCGCCGACATTGTTGTGGGCGCCGCCATTTTGGTGCTTGTGCAGAGCAGACGCAATTGCCGACCGTCATGAATCAGGAGTGCGGCTTCCTCAGCATTAGATTAGGTGTTAGGAAGCTAATGTAATATTGCTTTTTTCTCTCGCGAATTGTTTAAACCTTTCTGGAGGGCGGAAAAGCGTTTCCTGCGATTTTAGCCAAGGCTTCAAATAACTGGAAACCTTGATTTTAAACTACAATATGGTCAAGTGTCGTTACTCTGAAGCGTAGCTTATTTAGTGGCACTAGCCAAAGCTATGAGTACGCGTGCGCTCGCGGACCCTGAGCACCGATAAAAGCTGTGCACGCGCAGTGTTCGCTTCGTCTGAAATGCCAGAAGAAGTTGTCCTCGAGCATTGACTCTGTTTACATGGGTAAAAGAAAAAAAGATGCATGTCCCGGCTCGGTTCGATGCGCTGCGATCATATTCATGTAAACATAGCCATTGTTCTGAGCATGCGCATGAGAACCAACGTTGCTGCGAAATTCCAAAATGCAGTGTTTCCATGGTATAGTTGGGACGCAGCATTTCTAAATTTAATCCCCTACTATAAAACACAAGCTCAAGGAAAAGCCTGAGATGAGTGATAAAGGTTTAACTTTATTAAGAAAAATTCAGACGAACAAACACACGGGCAGAGAGGCAGAAAGGTTAGGTCCACGAAGCGAAAGTTGACTGCTGAGCGGAGGCCCCCCACGGCGAGGCTACGGCGTCCCTCACCCCCGACCACGTCCTGACCCTTCCACTTGCTTTTGCCGACGGAAAGGCGAAGACCGAGACGAAAAGCCTGGCAACAATGGACGCTCAGCTGGTCGAATTTCTTCGAAGGACTCGCAAAGGCAGCGTGACCCGCTCCTTGGCTCGGGGTACTCTGCCAAGGCCCGACACGCGAGAGTTTGCGCGCTAAACCGCGCGACACACCACGAAGATTTAAAAGAAGAAAAAAAAAACGATAAAACTTAGACGGCGAGTTTCGAGATTCAACATATACCGCGTTTTTCTTTTTGCTGATTCAATACCCTTTTCCGCGTGTTCGTGAGTGTAAAAACCTTAATATCACGGGAGCTGCGGTGAAGACTTGAGCCAGACTCTGATTTAGTCTTGGGGCACATAGGAGGACACGGGCGCAAAGTCAAAACCATTGGCGTCGGAACAAAAGGAGGCGGGGTTATGGGGGTTGGAGGGAGGGCGATTCTCTTCTCAGACATTTAAGATATTTCCATACTTTGTTTCACCATAAATCAGAGTAGTCAAGGACTAAAAGTCAAACAAAAACGGGCACACATACTGAAAGTGCAAGGTCACGGCGAATTCACTTCGCTTGATTAGTTAGCCGATAATAACTAACGCACTGAAAGTTGACGAACACAATGACGTTGCGGTTTGGTTCGCCTGATCGGCCCTATCGATTCCTACAGTCTAGTTAATGACGCGGTGAAAGGGGATGAAATCTTCACCCACAGTCGGTCTCCCATTCCCTCAACACTTTCGATGCCCCTCATCAAAACCGGGAGGTCCCTGATTTGGAGCTCTACCTCTTATAGTTTCATAGGAGTTACTAAAGCTAAGAGCTGATGAATCTAACCTTGTATTAGTTCGAACATTCATTTTTGCGAGTTGGAACGACGAAAGTCCCAGACGCTCAAGATGATTATTTGTTGCTTTTCCTTTCACAATGTAGCAAACCGATGATCAACGTAGGTTGACCCTATTGTTTCTAAATAATTCTTACTTTTACAGATAAACAAATTCAAATTTCCACACTATTGAATTTAGTACTTCAGGTCCCCCCTCCCTCCATATTTCTTTTTTTATTCGTTTATAGCCGAATTATTGGGGAAACCTACAGAAAACAATGATTACACCTTTCCGTCGATGTTTATTATCATTTCAGTCTCAACACAGTCACGTTAAAATTAAACACCCCTAAAATTTTTTTTTTTTCACTTGCGCTTTGTTCACAAAGAGCAGCCGCATGAGGTGCATTCAATAGCTAATCCGGGCCCTAATCTGGACACTGCGTAATAAAAGTCGGTGAGGAATCCGGCGGCCGTGATTTGCCGGCGCCGCGTTCGACCTTGGCACCGGCCAATCACGGTGGTTGAATTCCTCGCCGACGTTTTCTTCAAATGCCCAGATCCGAGCCCCTGAAAGGAGAAAATATTACAATTTACGTAACGCAGCTCAACATACTTGTTGCACTTGTCAACCGTTAAACGAATGCTCAGGTGCAAGGCCACGAACGGACAATCGTGTCCGTTCGTGGCCACGAATGGACACGAGTCCGTTCGTGGCCATAGACTTCATGGCCGATCAGAGAACCACAGTTTTGGCCTTATGCTTGACGTATCGGTATACGCTGTGCTCCGTTTTACCATAAGTCAGAGCCCAGCCGATGCTACGAGACTTGGGGCAATCAAGCCGCGCTGAAAGTGCAACGCCATGGCATTTAGCATTTAGCGTTTGTCTTTGCGTCCGCTATCACCGGCTAAACCAGTCGGACAAACAAAATGCACTGGGACCTTGAACTTTTACTCTGCTTGCGCGTCCGTGGTTGTGTGTACTATTATAGCATTTAACTGCACTCTGACTCACGGTAAAACGAAATATATAAAGTTTTAACCTTTTTCCTTTTTTGTTTGCATCTCGACAACGAAATTGCCCACTGCGCATGCGCGTAATGCACAATGGCGCCTTGCGCCGCTGTGCATACAGGCCTCAGTTACCGTTATCGGAATTCAAAAAGCGATCTAGTAAAACTCCCCATTTCGGTGATATTCGGGAGGCGTGGATTCGTGCCGCTAAGAAACTTTACCAGGCGATGGTGCCAATCTTGACGGCCGTTCAATTGTCTTTACTCTTTACTCGCAGCATGATCGGTACGACGCCGCTGGTGGCGACTGCGCCCATGCCAGGCTGCAGCATGAAGATCTTCGTGGGTGACTCCGAAGAAGAAGTGGTGGCCGAGAACGTCAAGATCGGAGATCCCCTCACCCTGGTCATCATGATCGACAACCAGGGTGCGTGCGGTGTTCCCCGCTGGACACTAGATACTGCAACGCAGTCGCTGAACTTTCTCAAAAGCTGGATGCAGATACTCCGGCGAAATTCAACATTTCAGACAACCGTGAAAAGCTTCCACGCGCAAGAGCTATTCGCAAGTTCAACCTCGTCCGTTCAATCCCCTTTCTTCCGTTTCACGTTTCGGGCGCCAGGCCGCGCCGGTTTTCGCTGCGCACTTGGACAGCTGGTAGCTTTCCTCTTGTCTTTTTTTCGTCTTTGGCACTGGGTGGCGTTGCTTGGAGTCGTTGGAGTTTCGAATAACTGCCATATCGTGTTCAATAGAAATTACAGAATCGCTCAGAGGCGCGGTAAAAAACTATAATAAACAAAAAGAAAAGCTTTTTGAACAGGATTCATGTGCGTCCTGCCGGAAATAGTCTAAAGAAACAAAGAGCGGGTTGGTGAAAATACAAGAATCAAAGAAAAAATAAAAACACGTAGGGACAAGGACAGCTAGCACAGTTCTTTCAACCAGCAACGAACATTTACTGATGTCTCCTTCAACACGTACAATCTCCCTCCGAGGTTTTCCGAGCTTCAAGCGAATCTTATCATCCAATTGTGGTGCATAATCGCCTCTGCACGAAGCTGTGAAACTCTTTTCGAGGACACCAGCATCATTGTAAAACACAAGAACAACCTCGGCCAAAAGATTTTTTAAACCTACAGGATAGCTGGTAAAGAACACAACATCGCTGCTCCTTCTCTTGGGTTGTCCAAAACTGAGCTGAACAACCTAAAGCCAGAACTTAATTCGTCAATAGGCTTATACTCGTTTTCACCTCAAGAAAAAAGGACGTTTTGCGCATTGTTAATACGCCGGGCGAAGTAGTTCTTACAAGATTTGGTTGTCGGAGGAACAAGCGATCCTTTTGGCGTTTGAAACGTAAACGTCTTGATTAGATAACATATATCTAATCTAAAATGCACCTACATATATATTAATTCTCCTTGTAAAAGGGAAAATTAGTAATGCTCCGCGAGGAGCCGGACTTTTTTTACTTCGGTTCTTGAGGTGAAAACGGGTATAGTTATCTGAATTTGTCAATGGTTTATCTTCTTCTTCCTTTTCTTATTTCTTCTTTTTATTTTTCTTTAGCTTCTCGGTTATCGTGTTTTTATTTTGGGTGATTTTCTTCTTTGTCTGGTTGATTTATGTATCTTCTTCAGTTTAATAAGTAGGGAGGAAGATTGTACGTACTGAAGGTGACATCAGTAAATGTTCGTTGTTAGTTGAAAGGACTGTGCTGTCTGTCCTTGTCCCTAAGAGTTTTTTTTTTTCTACTCTTGCGCAAATAGTATCTTGATATCTCTACAGCAGAACCAGCCCGTCAGTTATTATTATTTTATTTTTTTACGCCAATTTCGTGCATCGTAAAAAAAAAACAGACGAACACGCATAGCGCAACCAAACTGCCTCGTCTTTGATGAATCGTTAACGCCAACGGTTACAGCGAGGTGCACCGTAAAACAGCCCAGACGGATCATGAGACATGGCAACTTCTTTCGACCAGATCGTCGCCCGATTCTGTCTCACTGGGTGCTCTGTTTCTCCTTTCCGCAGACGTGTACGGCATGCGGGTGACAAACTGCCTTGTTCGTGACGGACTCAACTGGGGCGAGCAGCCGCTCATCAACAACGAAGGGTGAGAGCCAGCGGCTTACGGTCCCACACAAACTTGGCTAGCACGACAGAGAGAGCTTCACCAAACCCTCGCCTCCATCGGCCCACCGATAAATCTCAAATGATCGCCAACCTCATATGTTTTCTCCTTCACGTCTTTACTGTAGGTGGGCGTTCATTCGGGAGTTTACGGTGTATGCGTCAAAATGTAAATATCTAAACGCAAAAACAATAGACGTTCTCTCTTTTTTTTACTTGTGTTTCACAGTGAAGGGAGAACAACCAACAAAACCTTGGCTAAAGCAGCAGAAACGATGTTAGATAAGACTCTAATGTTCGACGAGAGGTTGTATCGTTTAAACCTTGACACAAGCGACATCGATAGCGAATGTCCGAGGATAAACAAAACGTGGCATTTTTGTCTAGGAACATTTTCGAGCGTTATGTGCAGCCTCCTGAGTGACACGTGCACGAGCGTATGGCTCTAGGTTTTTTTTTAAACTCTCTCACTGCACGGCTGTTCGTGCAAATGAAGACATTTGCTCGGCTACGCTCTCATGCCCGTGCCGTTGATAGTGTTGCATGCACCCACCGTGTGAGATGAGTCCCGACCTTAAAAAATGTACTTCCGGCCGCTAGACATTTAATGTCTGTAGATACGCTTGATACCTGCACTGCTTGTCTGCCAAAAACGTAGAGCTCGCGTCTGGCCGGCTTATTTTGGTAAGTTTCGCTGCCACCTGAAATCAACTGTGGCGTTCGCTCCCCGCAACGACTCGAGCCAAGGAAGCGTTTCCAAGGCGACTCTCTCCCGCCGGTGACCTTGTTATAGCCCAATTCACATGGTGCGATTTTATTTGCGATTTCGGAGCTGCGACGTCGCTCGTGCGGCGAAAAAAAAAAAAAATCCTAGGGGAAAGTTTTTGTGCTCGACGTCGCAGCTGCGAATTTGCGAGCTAAATGGCATCGTGTGATTGGCGCTTATCCCTGCGCAAAACGCCTAAGGCTATGGGTTCTACCAACTCCACCAAGAGTAATCAAAGCTCCTGCACAAGCTAGCATTTCGACGTTATCACAGTAAGATCGAGAGCCAAAACGTATTGGTCGCGAGTGCTGCGCCCGACTGAGCCTCGTGTCTAGTCGGTGCGTGCTTTCGGCGTCGGGCTCACACCCTATTAAACGCTATTCCTCTTCTCCCTGCTTCTCTGCCTCGATGCACGACGCCATTTTTTGAGCCGCCGGTCAATGACGACGTCACCTGCACAGCTCAGGGGACGTCGTGATTGGCCGGCGTTCCCCCCTCCTTCTCCCAGCCTCTTTTTGGTAGCACGACACCATCTTTGAGCGAAGGCGCCGGCGAGAAGGAACATTGTGAACAACGATCGTGTTACACTTCTATATGCCGAGACTTTAGTTACATGAACACTTTCTCGGCAATGAACGCGACTACCTAAAATAATCGAGGCCCGCAACACCCTCCTGTTTCTCCGTGGAACGTCGTCACAGGTGGATAGCGCCGACTCAGCAACTGGAACCGGGCCCGATGCCGAACGTCCATCGACGCGTGTTCATTGGACAAGAGGTCACGCCGAGCACTGACGCAGCACTCGTATCCAATCCGCGTGTCTGCACTCGATCTCACTGCAGTAACGTCAAAATTTTAGTGCATAGTGTATTCTATACTTCTTTTCACCCCAAGATCCGTTGTAAAACAATTTAAGCTTTTCGCAGAGCATTACTAGTTTCCCCTTTTATATCGAGAATTAACATATATGTAGGTGCAATCTAAATTTAAACGATTGTGATCTTATGAAGACGTACACGTTTCAAATTTCAAAAGCATCTCTTTTTTTTTTTGGCAACCAAATCTTGTATCAACTACTTCGCACGGCGTATTAACAGTACGCAAAACTTCTTTTCTTCTTTGTTTTTGTCTTGTTGTTTTTGTTTCTGTTGTAGTTTTCCGAAGCGCGCTTTTTGAGGTTGACTGTCTGTATGGCGATGCTCTCGCAGTTGTCCAGTCGACAACGAGATCCTCGGGCCGTTCGAATACACGTTGAACAAGACGCGGGCGTCAGTGACCTTCCAGGCCCACAAGTTCCCCTACACCTCCTCTGTCTATTACCAGTGCAACGTCAAGCTGTGCCTCAAGTCCAGCGGAGGCTGCGACGATGTGGTGAGTCGCGTCACAGCATTGCCGGGGACAAACACTGAAGCGCTGTCTTGACAGAGTGCGTATCACGCACAGTCGCCATCTGCATACATTTAACACTCGTAACTTTTTTTATTTATTTAATTATTTATATTGTTCTACATCCGTTAAAAAAAACGTCCTGGGAGCTGAAAATACGCGAACAATATTCATCGTGGGAATGCGACTGTTAATGAGTGTATTTACATATTATACGGGAATTTTCGCTGCTCGGACACGCAGACATTTCTAAAATATATAAGTATTAAAAAACCAGCAACATTAAAAACTAACTCAAAAATAAACTCATATCGAAGGTTAGTTATGAAGGCCTACAGCTTCTTCAGTGCCAGCGAGGGACAGCGTTGAAGTTTCACCTGCTTGGCGGCCACACAGTGTTGCCTGTGTTTAATAAAAGTTACAACAGGTTGTCAGAACTTCTCGTGGCATGGTAATATACCGATAAAATTTTATCCGGAAAGTTATAGGATCATTCGATCCCTAATAAAACTGCTTGATAGACTGCAAAAAAAAAAAAAAAAAAAAACATTAAAAACGATAGGCGACCCTGAAAGCGTGTGCGTATTATTTTTGTTTGATTTTGTGTATACATTAAGAAATTGTCAAATAAGGTTCCTGAGAGCAGGGGAGAAAAGAAATGTGTAAATATAGAGTAACATAATTGTAACGTATACAAAAATCTATGAGAACTCTTCAATTGCTGGGAGCCACCGACAAACGTTGCAATACTTTTACGCTTTTTTTTTCTTCTTTTTTTTGTCTACGAGAGTAGTTAGACTGGAGCGGTCTTGAGATTGGTACGTGAGGCACTCTTAGACACGCGGCGAAGACGTAGCGGCGGAAGAGGGTAGTCCTCGCGGCTGTGTGGCCATCTACAGGTGGGCTGCAAAGTACACGACCAGAAAGAAGGCACTCGAAGAGGAAAGGAGAGAAATCCGCATTCCTTCCGACTTAACTCTGTTTCCTCATCAGACGGAAACAGTACGTTCGCACGCCGTTGAAAAACATCGCACGCGTCAAACATAAATTGAGGAAGGTGGGTTTTTTTATTTATATTTTTTGTTTATCAAAAATCTTTTTTGTCAGTCCTGTCGTTCGTGGAAAAACCGGGTACGTGCATTTTTGTCAACCGCATTCTTTTTTTTTTTTGTGTGTGTGTGCTTATGTAACTCTTGCAACATTATGACAACGACACTATATTTAGCTAGACTATATTTATTTACAGACGTCGAATCAAAGTGTATTTCGGATATCTTCGCCAACTAGGTAATTAAGTAAACAGGATAGGCAGATACTCGAGTAGGCTAAGGCGCGAAATCTAAGGGGAGTCCGGCACTAGAGGCTAGCCAGTTCAGAGCCGCATATAGCATAAGTTCGATATAGGTTCGGCCAACTGGTCGAGCAAGGCCGTAGCCACCGTGGTGGCGACACAATCCCCAGGAAAACGTACATTCGCTCCCAGGTTATGGCGCGAACATATTCCAAACATTCGACTATTCTCATATCCGCAGTCGACGTTATGAGACTAGCATAGGTGAAAAGAGCAGGCAGACAGGAGGCGGGCTGCATTTGTTTACTCGTCATAAGGCTGGTTCGCCAGTGTTGTACGCAACGGCGCTCCAAGGACCGACGTGTACCCGGTACGCGTTCCTTTGAGGAGGAAAGGGAGGGGTGCCGCCCTTCCATCTTGCATCGGTGGAACCGGAACGGGAAGCGGATACGTTTTCGAGGGAACCGCAGGAGGAACGGCGTTCCTTTTTCTTCTATTGATCCTTACTTTTTGCCCAAATTTAGTAAGCATTTAGGATTTTTATTAGCGACTATTTCAACCTCCCACTTCTATAAATGGAGAAGTTTCCCAGAGATAGTTGAACAAAGAATAAACCTGTATTTCTCAAGTTTTGAGCAGCGCCCCTGGCGAGGAAAATCTGATATTTGTAGGTCGCGTTCACGTTCTTCGTCGTGTTGCGTCCTTTCAGACGCGCCGTTAGCGCCCGTGACGGGACACTGAGGGACGCTGACCAAACGCTTGTATACGCACGTGGACCGTGCATGATGGGGACGCTAGGAAGCCACTTCACGTCAGCATGAAATCGTCGCGTCTTGAGGACGAGGCGCCTTTCCTATGGTCGGGTCTCGTGGACGCTACAGCGCTACTTGGCCGAGAGCAGCAGGGCCATTGGAACAAGTGCGATCGTGGCGACTCGGCACGTAGTTCGGTGGGAATATTTTTCCTCGCTCGCCTAATTTTATCTACGGATTATCCAGCAAAATATTTCATTACATACACAAATGTCACGTTAATGTAACGACGCTTCCTAATCAGATTTAACAGGAACGCGTTTCTTTCGAACGACTGGAACTTGAAACGGGAACTCGTTCCGAGATTAAGAAGGAACGCGGAACGACCTTCCGTCTCTGTTTTGGAAAAACGTGTACAACACCAATTCACACATAATTAAAAAATAACACGCAAAAAGCACGGGGCAAAGTTGGAGAAACACGCACAAGCATTTTACTGTTTCGCATATTTGCGATTGAGCGCGACCGACTGCGTTGCGAACGCTTGCGATTGCTTACGACGGGATGACACACTGGCGTCATCCATCGGGCAGTCCGGGAAAACTTTAGATCAGCGTATAACTGTAGTATATTGCAGGCTAAAAAATGAAGACAGGCCATTTCCCGCAAAGCCCTTCACTCTTCCCAATTTAGCAGAACGAACGCTGGAGAGGAGGTTGCGTCCTCTCCAGCGTTGGCTCTGGTAAAGTGGAAAGAGCTAAGAACAACTTTTATATCACTCTTAGTCTTAACCTCTCCCCGACTATAGTTGTGGTCTACATGTCTTGCTCACTACCACCGCCAGGAGACTATTCGCGGCTTGCGGTCGACTAGAACACGTGCTTGCGAGCACGCCCGACTTGCGCTAGGCACTGAATAACAGGCTGAAGTTGAGCTAGTTGGTACATAATTTAGGTAAATGATCAGCTAGAACGAGAGGGACAAACACAGACAGGGAGAAACAGAGACAGCGGTGTGTATGTCTCTGTTTCTCCCTGTCTGTGTTTGTCCCTCTCGTTCTAGCTGACCATTTACCTAAATTGCGCTTGGCAAATGGCGTTCCCACATTTGAATGCCGGTGATCCCAGTGACTTACTGAAATATGAGTCGTTGGGTCGTTGTCTGGACCCTGCTTCGACGACTCGAGTTAGGCACCGAAAACGCTCAAATCAGAACTGCAGCTGTGCGCTTGCGCAAATCAAATCTCAGCGCGACCCGAAGGACCTTACCAACCCATACGCGACGGTGCAGCGGGCCACACGCAGCTAAATGCCACGGCCTTTTCCGTACATACATAGCGAAAGAGATTCAGGCTCTGATAGCATCGGATCACCAGAGCGAATTGTCGGTGGTCGACGGAGCGTTTTATACGCCGGACTTCGATTAAAGTCACCGCGACAGCCCCGCATGGAATTGTGACGATAGCGAGCGTGTGACAATACACGCAGTTTCCTCGAGCACTCGTAGTAAAGCTTCTTATCGGCGAGAACGTATTAAGCACAGGTATTTCTCTTTTTTTCTGTTACTCATTACTACAACCTCGGCAAAATTGTGACTAGACTTCGAAGGTGACTATCAAGTATAAACCATTTCCTGTCGGCTGTGGCCATTTGGGCTCTTACAGTAGAGAGTATTAGGGGGATATCAATTCGCTTTATTATTACTCTCACAGAAGTCACATGATGTATTTTATTTTCCTGTCCCTCATACACACCACATGTACGAGGATCGAAACTTCGGCGCGAAGGTTCATTCACACAGCCCCGTTTTCTTGCGTTACGTTACGATATGGGAGCTTAGGTCTGCTTACAACAAGAGGCACCAAGATTGTATTTCTTATGACGCACGGCGACAACTTTAAGAAGCAACTCTGCGCGGGACATTCGATGTACGGATGTCCCGAACGTTCATAATGAATCGCAACAAAACGTGAACAAACGCGCTTGTGAGGATGGGTCTTTGCTATGTCAATTATCACGACGGCACGCACATAGACGTGTATCTTCCCGAGCTGTCCTATTTGCCTCGGAGCTCTCGCTCACGCACTATTTTTATATCTTTACACGGCGCTGTCGCGGGTATAGGAGGTATTCACTGGACACCATATTTGAGGGCGATGTTTAGAGCGCATGCTCAGAAGGAGCTCACATTAATAGCCTGCTAAGACCGGCAAGCTTGATGGTGCTAAATGCACGCTCCAAAAGCACTGCGGAAGCTCGCCATTAGCACGCGCTCAGCAGCAGCGCACACGGATATGGCCGCCAGGGAATACTCCCTATAGACGCCATATCTGAGGGCGCCGTTTAAAGCGTATGCACATAACGAGCTCATATGGTGTGGAATGCACGTTGTCAAAGAACTATGGAAGCACGCCAGCAGCACGCGCTGCAGCAGTCGAGCACACAGCTATGACCGCCACTCGCTATGGACGTTTTTTGTTTCCTTTCATTTTCAGTCACGTGGGTTCCGTATCTGGTATGCGGGACGAAAAAATAATAAAACATTTCAGTCCGGAATATGGGAGATAATATAGGTGAGGCAAAACTTGAATGCCTGACAATCACGCATTTGTCGTGAACACTTTCCAGTGGCACGGAGAGAGCGAAATGATTTTTCCGCGCATACCATAAATTACGACATTCGAGATGGCTCCGCCCCTTGTAGAAAATCTGTTATCCGAGCAGCCACGGAAAAGGTCAATACTCCATACCCAGGTTTAAAGATGCAGAGCCGATCGCCCGACCCCCAACATTCCCGATCGCTGTAAGAAGCGAGTCCTGACCAAAGGGAGGGCCATACGCACTAGCGCTGGAAGTGGCACCGGTCAGGTTATTTATATTGTAACGGGGTGACCAGCTCTAGCAGTTTGTAAATTACTCATCCATTACAATCACTAACAGCTT